CGAGTTGTTCGAATTGGCTCCTACATTTGTTATCTGTAGTCCTGATAAAGCTTTGTGTGTTGATGTGTCCTCTTAACAAATCAATATTCAGGACAAAAGGTCTGAGTTATAATCAGTGTTACACAACAAATTAACATCTAGTATGCTGACAGACTGTCAGGCATTTCACTGTACTCTGTATCCTGTATGTGATGTGTGTGTGTTTGTGCTGATTTATGCCGCCGTCACTGCAACACTGCACGATGGGAAAGCTGAGCACTCACATCTGACACACTGAATCACCTGTCACATCACAGGCCAACACACATACATTTAAATTACTTGCACTTTTTCTCATTCACTCAGCCCGTGAATGCACGCTGTAGGACCACTGTGTGTGTGTGTGTGTGTGTGTGTGTGTGTGTGTGTGTGTGTGTGTGTGTGTGTGTGTGTGTGTGTGTGTGTGTGTGTGTGTGTGTGTGTGTGTTTTTGGTCCCTGATGTATTCTTTCCACTGTCCACACCCTGCCACTGCAGTCCTGTCTTTTTATCCTCCCCTCTCTCTTCCTCTAGTGAATAATGAATGAGTGGTGAAAGCAGAGAGCTGTTGTCTCTCTCTGGTTCACACACACAACCATGCACACTCACTGTAGGGTCAAACCAACCACATGCGGGTTTAGATTCCGACCATGACGGGAGACACTTTTTAAAAAAAATGTTATTGTTTGTCCTTCTCCATGAAAACCAGTGTTGTGCGTGTATCTGTGTACAAATTGATTAATGTGGCCTGCATGTCCTTGAATATAACCGTTAACATCCTCCTTATATATACACACACGCTTACACACCTTGAGTTTGAGTGTGCGTGTGTGTTTAAAAGGGTGGATACAGTGGGATTAACTGGGATTAAACTGGAACTGCTGAGTCTGAACCAGCTTTCTTCCCTTCATCAAACTGTGTGTGTGTGCTTGCCGGTGTGCCTGATCACTGTTCCTGTTTTTCCTCCTCCAGGCAGAGAAAAAAGTGCATGAGTGTAATTTTGTATGCGTGTGTGTGTGTGTGTGTCTGTATCAGCAACGTTTTAGATTACCCAGTGGGTCGATGCAGGATGGGCCAGGAGCCTATTTTAAGATGTGTGTCTGAATACTTGAAAGATCTGTAGTGCTGCCTGGTTCTCAGGATAGCTTTCTGTTTTTCTTTGTCTCAGCCAAAGCAGCCACTGCCACATAAACAGCTATGCAGGGTTTCTGCTGGTCATATCTGTTGGGGAATTTCTGAATGCAAGCAATACTTTTGCTAATCTGAATCTTTTATTTCAATCGCGCATGTTGTTAATGATTGATAAAAAACAAATCCACTTTTTCAGTCAGGGGGCTTGAACTGTTTTTCAGCTTCTAAAGGGAGGGAGGGGTGTGACAGAAAAAGTTTGAGAGCTAATGCAATAGATATGGTGGTTTGTAGTTGTTAGCATTCAAGAAGTGAGTCCGAGTGGAAAAGCAGGCCGCAATATACTGTTCGGGTCAGTGCCTTAAATTGTTAAGGAATATCAAGGAATTCATCAATAGGCTATCACTGACAAAGTCTATAAATTAAATGTATGCTCTCTATGCAACTTTTTGGGGAATTGTGTCACTGCAGCCACAAATGTCACAAGATTAAACATACATTATCAGTGTGTCCGCGGGGTCTTAAAAAGTCTTAATAGGTAATAAATAAACTTTGCGAAAATAAAGGCCATTAAAAAGTATTAAAAAGTCTTAATTGCCATTTAACAAGGTATTCAGTTTTGAAGATATTTTTTTCAATGTGAAAATCCTGTTTTTCCAAAAGTTTGTTTGTTAAAAGTGTAGATGAACGTATTTATTTATAATGCATAGCCAAAAACACTAGACAGGCAGTGATTAGCAACTGTATGATTCGTTTCTGTAACGTTAGCCGCAGGAATCTACCGAGCGCCTATTTCACTCTTGAATGCTCCAAAAAATAGATCCATGCGATCTGGGAAATGATTTACAAGTACAACCGACCGTAATCTCCCACCCCGCCGGACCCTCAATGCTAATTGTCCAAAACATAGTCGGAGTGGCGATCAGGAGAAACGGGATTAACCCCTCCCCGTTCCTGAAAAACAAGAGCGAGATGCGCTGCCAGCAGCTGAATCGGTAAGACAGAAGACAACAGGGAAAATCCAAGGAGCGTGTGTGTTTGGCTAACATTAGCTGGCTATTTAGCAAAATCGGTGCCTTTTATTGAAACACATTCAACTTTTCATAAAGCCGATGCTCTCGTCAATGTCAGTTTTTGTGAACAGATCAATCACAGCCTGGATGGAGCGGGATTCAAAAAAAAGTTTGATGTGCTGCAACAAAAAAAAACAAAAAACAGTTGGTTCATACAGGCTACTATAGGCAACTGAGAAAGTTGGTGAATGCCTCAATTTCTAGGTGGCATTACAACCTGATGATATATAGGCTATAAATATATTTCTTTCTTTTAAAAGCTCAAAAATGTCCCTTTTAAAGGTGTGTGGCTGATTTAATCGGTTATAGCTCAAAGTGGCGCGGCAGTCTTAAAATATTTTGACAAAGTCTTAAAAAGGTATTGAATTTTACTGCAGCATTCCTGTATATACTCTGATTTTACGACTACATTTACATTTACATTTACTCATTTGGCAGACGCTTTTATCCAGAGCGACTTACATGTGAGGAACAACATACAAGCATCAACAGAGCATCAAATACAGATCTACAACTGACAATACATACTAGTAAGAGCAGAAGTAAATACTAGTAAGAGCTCATAGTACATATCACATCAATGGGGTAAATACCTAGGGAAGGAAGTAGGAGTTAACAAAAAGTGCAATCAAAACAAAAAAGTGCAATCAATACAAGATAATTGTAGGGGATAGAAGAAGAAGAGCACAGGAAGTGCATGTTAGAGGTTAGGAGTTAGAGGTGTTATAAGAGGAAGTGTTCTCGGAAGAGATGAGTTTTCAAGAGCTTCTTGAAGTTAGAGAGGGACGCCCCTGCTCTGATGGCGTGTGGTAGCTCGTTCCACCATCGTGGTGTCACAGATGAGAATAGCCGGGACTGGGATTGCTTTGTGTGAAGGGATGGCAGAGCCAGGTGGCGTTCGTTGGAGGAGCGTAGCGGCCGAGAAGGAACGTAAGTTTGTATTATTTGAGTTTAGGTAGATGGGTGCAGACCCAGTAGTCACTCTGTATGCAAGCATTAGTGAGTTGAATTTGATTCTGGAGCCAGTGGAGGTCACTGAGTAATGGAGTGACATGAGTCCTTTTGGGCTGATCAAAAACCAGACACGCTGCTGCGTTCTGAACCATTTGTAAGGGTTTCACCGAACAAACTGGAAGATCTGCTAGGAGGGCATTGCAATAGTCGATGTGAGAGATAACCATGGCCTGTACCAGAAGCTGGGTGGCGTGCTGAGTGAGTTAGGGCTTGATTTTCCTTGTGTTGTATAGAGCAAAGTGGGAGACTGCAGCAACATGGTCTGAAAAGGACAGCTGGTCATCAATCATGACAACCAAGTTTCTCACCACCTTGGTTGGAGTGATGGTTGCGGAGTCAATTTGTAGTTTGATGTTATGGTGGATAGATTGCTTGGCTGGAATGACCAAGTTCAGTCTTAGAGAGGTTTAGTTGAAGGTGGCAAGCCTTCATCCATGCAGATATGTTCGATAGACAGTCCGTGATCCGCGCGAGACGGTGGGATCGCCTGGCGGAAGGATAGGTAGAGTTGCGTATCGTCTGTGTAGCAGTGGTAAGAGAAGCTGTGCGAGCGAATGATCGGCGATCACCAGTGAGGTGGTGTAAATTGAGAAGAGAAGGGGCCCTAGCACTGAGCCTTGGGGCACCACTGTGGAGAGGCAGTGGGAGGAGGATAATCGTCCTTGCCACAAAACATTGTAGGAACGCCCCGAGAGGTAGGATTCAAACCACAGGAGTGCTTTACTCGAGATGCCCATTGCTGAGAGATAGCAGGATCCTGTGGTTGACTGTGTCAAAGGCAGCTGATAGGTCAAGCAGGATAAGAACCGAGGACTGGGCTGCAGCTTTAGCTGCCCTTAGGGCTTCTTTTACAGACAGAAGAGCCATTTCAGTAGAGTAGACTAGAATGTAAACAGTATCCATGTAGCCTAATCTTAAACTACATAACGGAAACTGACATTTTTTCTCCCCACATTCAAATAGTAGTTTGAGTTACAAATAAGAAGTGACAGCCCAAGAAAACATAATAAAATGCGCTTGGAACACAATAAAAGAAATAAAGATACAATATAGAGATTAGTGCTGTCATGAAAACAGTTTCCTAATGTTAAGAAGCCTGTACACGTGTGTCTTCTTTCACAATACAGGTTGCAAATGTTTTCATAACAGCACTAATCTCTATATTGTTTCTTCATTTCTTTCATTCTGTTACAAGCCTCTACAGGTGTGTCTTCTTTTTTGTGAAAGATTTGCAAAAGTTTCCCAACGTTAAGAAGCCTCTACAGGCGTGTCTTCTTTTACATGACTTGACTGCTAAGTTGAAATGACTAAATATGACTTATTTACTGTAACTATGTAGCTAAAGGAATTAATTACAGAGAAAATATTGTCAATAATGTTTCAACGTGATGAAGTACGTATTAGGAGGCACTCCCAGCAGCCTCATCTGAAGGTGGGGAAGAATGAAATAATTTGATTATAACGCACAAATTCACGCAAGTGAATGTTACCTCCATCTTTTCTTCCATCCCTTCGTTACAGCCTCACAGGAGCATTCTGGGAGGGGCTGCAGATACATACAGCTGACCCCTCTCACTTATGTAGAGCTTTATTAGTTTATTCAGGTTTCCCCAGTAGGGAATAATTAATCTGTACGAAACAATATGTTGAAAATGGAAAGACCCACTTCCGTAGAGAAATAACACACTGTTACAGTAGAACTATCTATAACTGCACACTATGCAGCTGACTCCAGCTGGCTTACAAAATGTGTGTTCTCCCGATGCAGAACTTCCAGGCGCTGCCAAGACAGCCACTTCAGATCACCAAGAAGCGGTACATCCAAGGTGAGGTGACACACACTCATTAACACAGGCACAAAACAACCCTCCCACGCGTCCTAGAGAGTGAGACAGTGATAAATATTGAGTGTGTGTGTGTGTGTGTGTGTGTGTGTGTGTGTGTGTGTGTGTGTGTGTGTGTGTGTGTGTGAGAGAGAGAGAGTTCAGGTTCACCTCTCAGGGCGCACAAAACCTAATGAGCAGAAACTTGTAAAGAGGGTTTACGAGGATAATAATAATCTGCAGCAGCAAAAGGGATGGTCACTAAAAAGTGTCAATATTTGTGTTTGTCTGAAATGTGGCTGATGTACAGTTTGTTTTGCTGCCGTATTATTTGAAGATGATAATAGTTAAAATTGTTCAGTAAACAGCGCATAGTTATAGCATCATTTTTCAGTGACGTTATATAATATTTCACATTTGACCTATTAGCCTTATGTTTGTTTGCAATATTAAAAACATTAAAAGTTCCTTTTTCCCACTACTACCACCTAAACATTTTCAGATGTTAAAGATGGTAATAAAAGAGATGAAGTGAGACATATTGTGTTTTAAAATAGAAACAGGTTCTTTCTGTCTTCCCCTTGTTTATTCTTATGCCTGTAATGTGGACAGAAAAAGATGGTGGACGGTGATTTAACAAAAGCTAATGGGAAGATTCATAGCGAGAACATCCCTTGTACAGCGTGTCCCCTGTTACAGAGCCAGCTGAAACATCTGAGAAAATGAACAGGTGTGCTTAATTGATCATGTATGCAACATATGTTTACTTTCATGAGCAGAATGGTTTCTCCACGACAACTTGGGGAGAACAATATCCATATGGACACAAGCAGCAACTTGGCAATCTGAGATTTGATCATTTCCCCGTCACACCTTCTCTGTTTTCACTGCCCGCCTTCTTTTCATCCCCTCTCCTTTTGGAGGAAGTTTTAATTACCTCGTCTTGCCCTACTTGCAAGCAGTCATCATTTGATGAAAACTGCCACACCGACACTTTGGGGAAACAGCCTGACTCTTCATTTTGTGGGACAGTTGCTTGAGAGCCCCCTCAGCAATTATATTATAACAAAAGTTGAATTTAAGACAGAACTTGGCTGAAATCACACGCTCGGCCATGACCACACACTCAGTTTCCTTTATTATTAGTGAGCTGTTCAGAGTCAGGCCCTCTCTGAGCAAGGTGTCAACACTGCTCTAAATTAAATTTGAAATCGTACTAATATAAAACTAATATCTAAAAGACATTATTTCTTAATGTTTGTATTGATTTACACTGACACATTGCCTGTTTCACCTACATTCTGTGTTGAAGGAAGATTTAATTGCCTAACAGAAGCATTTATCTTCAGTATAATAATTTTGACTGATAAATTACATTTTCATTTCTCCGTGCACCAAACTGTTGGTCCATCCGACTGTGACTGTCATTGCTCTGGCACCGCTTGACAAATTATCAGCTTCTTAATTAAAAAAAGCTTGGTCATGGTTTTGTAAAGTTGTCGCTTATCTGGACGGCTTCAGTTCAAAAATGTCTGCTCCAGGGGGGGGCTACCAGATTAGCTGGCTGTCAGTGTGTCCCGAACACACGACCAAAACAAAATTCCTCCATTTGCAGATGAATAAAACATCAAAACAAGTCTATCCATGTGTTTGCATGGCCAGGCCACATTGCCTGTGCCGTCAGTCACAGCTGGCGGTGCCACACTATGCTTTATAGCTCTATTTCTGTTCTTTGCTGTCGGTGTTTCTATCTTTCTTTATCACGCTTTCACTGTTTGAGTCATTCAGAGGTGCTAATATCAGCACCTCTGCTCCACATACTCTCAGATTTCCAAAGCTGTTTGTCATCAGATCCTCTTCTCTCTGTCCCTGCTATATCCCGCACATCATCCCTCCTTTCCCTCCTTCTCTCTGTCTCTGTCATCCCCATCCCTATCAGTTATTGCTCTGTGTCTTAAGGAGCGAAGTGAGGCCCTAATCGCAATTGATTACATTACCCCAGTTTGTATGTGTGTCATAGTTTCATTGTCAGCATGTTATGTGTGTGTGCATGTGCTGCTGTAGCAGTATTTTCATTATGCCGACATGGAGTGTGATGGATCCCATCATTTCTCCTGCACTGAGGTCAGCACTTCAGTCCAGCTCCTTATAGCAGAGAGTGCAGTGATGGACTGATCCTGATAGGATTCTGATTTGCCTCTAAATGGGGCGTTGTGGCTTCATAACTTAACTCCTCATTAAGTCAAATGTCAGTGTTAGCGCACGTACACAAACAGGATATTGCAACTAAATGACTGTTATGCTGTATTTCTGGTAAAGAACTTTGTTTAGAAATGTGCTGTGAAAGACGTCCATACTTGACATTGTGCTTTTTTATTTATGGAAGGTCAATCTAAATTAAATTTTGTCTTGGTACACTTATGTGCCATGTGTTACAATACATGTATGTAATGTTTTAGATATGTATAACTTTTAACCCAAAGACAGTGTTTTGTTATATTTTTATTTAACTTTTGTGTAATCTGTGTTGACTTTAATTTAATTGCACAATCATGATAAGAATATATGTTTATATCATATAAAATGCCATCAATAGTACTTTTTTGTCTTATTCAAAACCGGCTTGGAAAATAGGCTTTGGTTTTCTTTAACCAAACAAAAGATTCATAAACTGAGCTTGCAAACAGGTTACTTGAGGCTATTGTAGCACAGTTTGTACATTTAAAGTAGCACACACTTTGCAGCGAGGGATGATTTGCTGAGGCGTTCCTCAGGGCTCTGTGTTTGTTCCTCACAGGAAAGGAGGAGGTGGTGACTGTTCATCCTCGGGCAATGTTCATCCCTCAGGAGGGCTGGACTTTTCTTGCTGCAGGTAGGACAATTATTCATGTCAAATCAGAATGTTTTCTGTGTTTCATAAAGCACTGTTTTTGTTGTTCCTGTCACCCCATCAAATGCAAATTAATGAGGTGTGTTTTCCTTTTCCAGAAATGTTTTCTTAGTTTTAGGAGATATTTGATTTATGTATTTTTGCAGATCTGTCTTTTAGAGAAGGTCTAATGTGTATTTTAGAAGTCGGCTGTTTAGATGTTTTTACTGAGCATCTTTTCATATATTGTTTGACTAAATGTTTTTAGTGTTTAAACAGAGGTGAAGGTCACACTCACAGACTTTAACCACTGCACATGTTTTGACACAGTTTTATTCTTGATTCAGCAGCAATTAGCTGCTCAGGCATGTCATTCACTGTTGACCCAGCCGCTAACTAAACCTAAGGGAGCAGAAAAGTTCCTGAACTGTAGTTTCAGCATCAGCATCGTTTCTGCTTTTATAGTTCAGCCTTGTGGAAAAAGTGTGTGAGCATCTGTTTTGACAGCAGTCCGTATTAAAATTGGATTTGTTAGTTCGTCACACCAATCTCTCAAGTCTCTGAGATTTCTTGCACTTTCACATCAGCATAAATGTTTTCCCTCAGCTAGATTGTAAGTTTGTAACTTAAAAGAAAAAACCTCTAACGCTGACACAACCTTAGCTGGCATCCTAAGGTCACTTTAGGGTGTCACCGCTGGTCCACACTGTGCAGACAGAGGGGAGAGCTGGGACACTGTCAGCCTGGGAGAGCTTTTGTGGGGAACGCCGGGTGTCTGCTGGCCCTGACAGTGTGTCGCGCACTTACATAAGCAGACAGATAAACCAGGGTTAGCAGGAGGCAGCCCCCCCCCCCCCCCCCCCACACACACACACACACACCACACACACACACACACACACACACACACACACACACACACCATGGCACGGATTCACAAACACATTCAGCCAAACACATGCCCACACTCACACACAGGCAAGGTTGCCATGGAAACATCCCCTCCTAGGCAGCCCTCGCCCAGTCAGTCCCTTCATGTCCTCCGATGTCCTTCCCAAACTGGAACAACTACTGTGTGTGTGTGTGTGTGTGTGTTTGAACTACTACCGCTCTGTCCCTAAAAAGAGTTCAGTGAAGAGGCACGTCAAACGGTATTTGCTGTCCTGTCTCTGAAAGCATTGTGTGTGTGTGTGTTTGTGCAGATTTTGTCTTGAGTGTGTGTTGTGTTAATTCATCGAGCCCACACTGAGAAGAATCAAAATCATGGATTAGTAAAAAAGTGCATGGCTATCACGGCTGTTTTACCAGAGATATAACAAACCACTGTTCCTCCCTGTCCTGAAGCAACCTGCGTGGGCCTGATGTGTGTGTGTGTGTGCGTGTTTGTTTATATTTGCAATTGTCAACTTTCTACTGGGAGCTGTCTGCTGGTGTGTGGGGGCTGGAGCTGAGAGAGGAAAAAGGAAGACTAGCCAAAATGAGAACAAAGACCTAATTCCCTCATCAACCCTGTTAGTTTTAGTTTCGTTTTTCAGCCCATAATAGAAAAGGATAAGTTTGGGAAAACACATAACAGTTGTTGTGTGCAGCATTAATAAGGAGCAACATATGTTATCTCATTGGCGTGGTTTGAAAAGTAGCAAGGTTTTTGTTGGAAAATAATGTTTCTGCTGTAACTCAAAATGTTAACAACAGCTGCATAATGTGCTTTTTTATCATGAAGAAAGCAGTGATTTCAGAGAGTTAGGCAGTTAGGTTTATTTATTGTTATATTATACATTATTTATTTTGAACTGATGCAAAAAATTTTTTAAAAAGGTAATAAAGTCATGGTGCAGCAACATGCATCAGCCTGCTGTTCTTCGTCAGAACAAGAACCCGTGTACCACAAAATACTGGTACACAGGTGCATGTGGGATTACTGGATGGGTATGTTTGATTTATAGACTAGACTTCATCTACCACTAGTAATAACAGTTTTCAAGGTCAGGTGTATGTTATCACAAAACTTAAAAATCATGTTTCTTAAAGCAGAACGATGTATCAAATTACTTTGATGATGGTGAAGATGATGTGGCAATGTCTAGGGGCGAACCTACAGACAATTATCACTTGACTCAACAGCTCCCCTCGGATTTGCCAAGCTTTATAGTGAGTTTCAGCTCACTGTTTAACTGTCCTGCCACAAATTTACTGTTTTGGTTTACTCGCACTGCTCTCATAGCAACGTTTCCGGGCGCTGCAGGCAGCTGTTACCAGAGGGAAGTCTTTCAAAACCCGCTGTACACTACCTTCTCAGCACCAAACGGCAGACAAACACAGTTGGTGACTAGCTGGTGAACATAGTGGAGCATTTAGCAGCCAGATGTTTCCCTCAGGAGAGGGTAGTGAACAAAAACAGAGCTCAAAGAGCAACTGTTCAAGTGTAAAAAGTTAGCTATGTCAGCTTAAACAATGGTCCCTGACAGCTATTTCCAGGAAAAACGGCTAAAATAACATACCCAAACTAAATTATCTCCTTAACCATTAGTCCTAGATGCATAATTCGGGTCTCCTTTGGTCAGAAGGAAAGGAATATAAATCCATTGTACATTAAAAATATTTATTTTACCATTACAGACTACATGGAGATGCAGTACAGAAAAAATATGATATTTTCATCCTCGCCTGGTAAAAAAAAGCTATATTTTAATGCAATAAACCATCAAAACCATCATAAGGTACATTATAATGCAACTGAATATCTTCTAATACACCTAGAATACACCTGTAACTGTAAATTTGATGAAAAGAAACTGATATACAACAGTTATTACACAATCTTTCAAAAATATACCAGGCTTATTTCCATGTTTTGGCCATATTTACTGTTTATATGTTCACTTTTATTGGGAGTTATCTTCAAAACATAATTTCTCTCCATACATTTCCAAATAACATAAAATTTAAATATGGATAAAAACAGTCAATATATATGACCAAAAGCACTCCCATGCTTTACAGGCAACAGCTTGAGAACAGAACGTCCTACAGGGCCGCAAGTTTGTATTGACGAGACGAATCGATTGATATCCTGCATGTCTGTGTATCTCCTATGGGTCGCCAGCAGAGGCCGATAAAGACCGCCTCCGCCAAAGCTAACTGTTCTTCTATACTTCAATCTGACGACAGAAACGAAATTTACCGGCGAAGCTGACCTCACCAAGATGGCGGCCCACCAGACGGTCCCTGTTGACACAAAGGACCGCTGTTTTTGGACGGGAAACAGCTAGTACAGCAAACACTGATTACGTCCCCTGTATCGGGTCAGTCCGTTAACAGTGATATGTCAATGTTGTGTTCACTGCCCTCAAGTATCTAAAAAAGTCATTGCAGGTTTAGTAAAAGGTGGAAAAATGTATAAATTATTTACAAAACAGGGTCTGATCAGTTCATTCATCAAAGTAGTTCCTTCACGTGAGCTTTCACGGCTGTTTTTCTGGAATAAATCCTGCATTCAGCTGGGATTTTCCTCCTGGATTTTAGTTGTGAAGTACCAAGTACATACGGTATACATTTCTCCCATTAGACTTTTAACTTTCACAATCCAGTCGAGCCTGTGTCCCCAGATGACCTTGGTCTGTATACTGGTCGATGCATTCTTCCTGGAAGCCTCTCTAGGCCCACCACAACCCACGGGACATTTCATAATCTCTCTGTGCAGGTTTTAGTTGAGCTCAAGCGCTTTTATGCACAGTCTTCATCCTGCAGACTGTACTGCAAAATATCACTGAGGTCTGTTCAGGGTGCTGAGGGTGCTGGCATTAAAAATGGCTGAAGCATGGCTTAGTCCCCTCAATATCTTAGTATGCAGTCCAAGGAACTACAGGAGATAGTACCGCCTTATTTATTGTTTTCAATGTCTGTAATCTCAAGTAATACATGACCTTTTTCTCTGGATTCATGCTGTCTAGAAAATTGAAAGGAACATGACATTTGGAGTAGGAAAGTCATTTTCTGTTCTTCCAGAGTGCCTTATGCGGGCTGCAACTAATGAGCGTTTTCATTACAAGTACATTATTGTTTTTTTAATTACGTTATTGCTCATTTTGTTTAGAAAAAATAATGACAAACACCAATTATAAGTTACCAGAGCCCAATATTGCTCATGTCATTTGTAATCAGCAGTCAAAGTGTTACAAGGGATACCGATATTCAAATTACAATTATTGAAATTGCCATTGATGAACTTTCTCTCAAGTTACCCTTCGCTAAGCCACGCCCGAATACGCTGCTGGCCAATCACAGCGCAGTATAGGACTCGCTCTAACTGAGGTCCGACACTTTCATGGCTGCGCTCCATTGACTCTAATGCAAGAGGAGTCGTTTTCTAGCTCTCTTTTTCTGTATTTTTCCAAGATATGGTCAAACGCCGTTTTTGGGGCACTTGTAAAAGTAACAGTTGCTACCCAGAGAGGTTGAAAGGAGAAGTATGATATGTTCCCTTTCCAAAACCTAAAACAAATCCAGAAAAATGTAGACAGTGGATTGTTTCTAATGTAATGTTAGTTAGGTAACGCTAGCTAACTTACTACTCTATGAAATGTTATAAAGCCCTACTGTTCTGCTTTTTAATGATATATGTAGTGTAATATTGAACAGAGAGCTACCCAGCTGTACAGGAACAGTGTTGATTGTTAATATCATTGTTCTCTTTCCTCAGGTAATGGTATACTTACTCTGTGATCGGTAGGTTATATCTTCTATTCTTTATTTTTTTAACGTCAGTTTGACAGCCTAAATAAAATCCAAATGCACAATGCAACTGCAAAACTGTCTGCTCCTTTCTGAGATCACTTTTTCCAAAAATTAGACAATAATTCTCCAGGGAGAGAAGTTAAAGACTGTGGCAGCGCCATGATAAAAGTCCGACAGGTCCGACAGTTTGTCGGACTTAGCAACAGTAACTAAGTCGGACTTGGCTTAGCGAAGGGTCAAATGTCAAACTGCTTTAGCACTTTCAT